ATGTATAGGTACAACTTCACACTTAGGACTGAAAATGGCTCTTAAAATATGACATATGGATCCTACCATAGAATTCCACATCTCAGATCCACCTGCTTTTTTTATATTTTTTATGCATTTTTCTTTTTCAGTTTGAAGTACATAAATATTGCAATGGTGACCATTCTGAAGAATATGACGAATATTTTAACAGCACTTGGAGAAATATATATGTTCCAGAAACGTCAGAACCAGAAAGTTTGGACTGCCATGTTTATGATGGTAAATTGATACTTATAGTTCCCTATCTCTCTGGACTTCGGTTTTAAATTTTATTTATGATAGTGCAGTTCTCAAAGAAAAGTTTTATTCATTCTGGTTGTGTCTGTTCTTGTCAAATGAGTTATTTTAGGAGAAAATGAATAAAATCTATTTACTGTTGATGATATATTCAGTTTCAAAGAACTAATTTCATATTTGATTTGCTTGTGCTTTGCTTACTGCAGATTATCTCTGCTATCAGTGGTGGTGCCACAGATCTATCTTTTGATGCAACAGGTTATGCATGGCAGATTACAAATTGTGTTTTGACAGCACTTTACTCGGTAATTTTTAAGACCCGTTGGTAGATTTATGAATTTGTTTCCGGGAAATCTGTAATTTTGGATTTGAACTGTCAGAATCATGATTTTTGTGCAGAGATCTCTATCATTTTAGACTTCACAACTAGCCTGAAAGATTTGTACTTTGTGACAGCTCACTCTTCGGAAAGTTATGGACAAAGCAAAGCAATTAACAAAATCAGGATCTCTCAATGAAATATCAATGGTGTTACTGAATAATTTGTTGTCTCTACCTCTTGCCATCTTCTTGATTCTCTTATTCGGTGAATTAGATTATGTAATTAGTTTGTAAGTAAACATTTCAAAAACTCGGACTTCACATATTTCTTTGTTGTTTGCTTGATGGAACTGGGAGCTCATTGATCCTGACAGTTTATATCATAATCTATACAGGGAAGTAATCAGATTGCCAATGTTTTGGATAGTAGCAACAGCAAGTGGACTGCTTGGGCTTGCTATTAGCTTTACTTCTATGTGGTTTTTGCATCAGACAGGCCCCACCACATACAGGTTAGTGTTCATGCTTTTATCTTTTTGCACCAAAATTCATTCTGTTTGTTTTCTGGAGTGCAGCCTGTAGTTCAAGTTTATTTTTAATTTATATGTTTAACTATTGAATATATCAAATTTAGTCATAATTTATGTATTTAATGCATAAAAAATATTTTTAGTAGATATTGAACGGATTTAGAATTAGAACATGCTTCTTTCATTCAAAATAGTATTAATCTTGTATCATATTTTTACCTTTATTTTATAGAATTAAATTTGAACCAAGCTCAACTTAATAGATGCAAAATTCAAAAAGTGTATAGATAAGAAATTAAATTAGGCTTGCATTACTTACTATTTTCAAGAAGGTCACAAGCCAGATTGTCAAAGAAGTTATCTATCATATACATGTCTATGCTGCATCACTAAATTCCTCTTGCTCACTCTTCTTTTTATTGATTGCTTTTCCCTGTTCAATCTATCAGTCTGGTAGGTTCCTTAAACAAGGTTCCCATCTCCATTGCCGGTCTCGTGTTGTTCAAGGTTCCGCTCAGTCTGCCAAACATGTTCAGCATACTCTTTGGTAATCATTGGATATATCACTATTACCATATGAATTAGCATACTCTTTAGTAATCACCGGATACAAGACTCTGTTTTACTGTATGAATTCACCCTTAGTTAATTAGCATTACTTTTAAAATATGTTTGGAATAAATTAAGATTTATCTTAAAACTTATTTGAAAATTTAAACGTAATTTAATTACGAGAGAATAAAAGTTTTATAAAAAAAAATAATAAAATTCGGATGCTTTTTATCACAGGTCTGTTAGCTGGAATGCTCTTTGCCAGAGCTAAAATGTGATAATGGATGCAATGTTGGTGAATGGAATACTCTTGTTCACATCAAATTTGAACAGCAGTCTGCCCCTTTTGATAAGTTCATTTCCCTTTCCTAGAAAACAAATTTGATTGATCAGATTATATACATACATATATATACGTGTTGATGTCACTGCAGATTGATTACACTTGGTCGTTATTTTTCCATTAAGAAAAAGAGGAGAAGTGGAAAATACAGGGGAATTAAGTATACTTATCTTGTCCAGCCTTACTTATAATTTTCTTTTTATCATTTTGTAATCAGACTGTAGATTTATAATTCCAAAAGTTTGATGCTATTAGAGATGACGAGACAGTTTATGGCGGTGTAAATGTATCGGTTGTTGATAGTGCAGGCACCGCTTAATGTAACTATATATATATATATATATATATATATCTCTATAATTTTGATTAATATAACAATTACTTTGATAAAAATTCAAACATTTATGTAATGGATTAATTATATATGAAAGACACTACAGTTGGATTATATCTGTCTGCAATCCATGTCTCCTTCATTTTCAGGTTATATCTGTTTTTTTTAATCTTTTGAAGTACGTTGGAAATTACTGTCGCTGTAGAGTTTAAATTGTATATTTTTATATAACGAGCCGAATATTTTTGTATAAATATGAAATATTTTAATTTGAAATCAATTTAACGATATTTTAAATCATCTTATGAAATTCATATGTTGTAATTATATTTTTATAGTGATTTGAACAATTGAAATACTTGTGTTTATAATTTAATCAATAGAATAGGTATATAACAATGTATACAAATAGAAGTACTGTTCGTACGGAAGAGCTATCAAAATGGAATTCCATCTCCATCCGTAATTAGAGACTTATAGCAACGAAACCTCTGTTGGAATAGGTTGATATTGTAGTGACAGAAACTTTTCTATTTTTGTCCGTTACTATTAAATCATTTTTCTTGTTTGAAATAATTATAAAATGTATATATATTTTATCCGACATAGCAAATTTTATTTATAAAATTCAATAGAGTATCATTTTAAGTTAATAAAGTGTAAATTTGTAAATAAATTTTTTTAAAAAAATTCAATATCTTCCAAACATATTTTAATACAAAGAGAATTAAAAGGGCCGAAATGTGTATAATAGAATACGAATAAGCAACATTTGTAAAAAAAAAAAAAAAGCACCCAAAAACATGCCACAAAATCAACAAAAACGTTCCGCCAAACATAATAAAAGCCTTTTTGCTTAAAAACTGCTTGTCTTTTTTTTTTTTTTTTTTTCTCGGTTCCCAAACAGAAAAATCCCATATTCAAATATTATTAATAATGTATAATAGTAGGAGAATTAACCCAAATTAGCTACTTCACCAACTGAACTTGGGTCAAATTCATTAATCAATTCTTAACTAAAGTTGCTACACTGAGAAATCTGAGAGGACGAAACCATTTCTATCAAATCCATCTCCTTCCTCCCACAACTTGAAGAAGAATTAGTAGCTGCTTGGCATGCAAGGAGCTGGTCATCAGTAGCGTGATCACTGCCGTTGCAGCCGCCATAACCGAGTAGGAAATTGGAAGATGAAGGATACGAAGAAGTTGCAGAGTACCCATTTAAAAGAAAAGACAGGTAGAGGTCGGAATGCAGGTGGGTTGTCTGAGTATTATTATTATTCTCTTCTGCAGCTTGAAGATGATTATAGTAATCCGGGTACCCAGTTTCAGCGAGTTGCTGTTGATGATCATGACGTACTCCATCATTGCCAGCAGTAGAGGTGGTGGTTACAAGATTATGATCAGCATCAAATGATTCCGCAAGAGCTACCTCCATCAATGGGTTACTGTTATCATCTATTGGGAAGACTCTATTGTCGTGATTTGAGTATAATTGATGGTAGTGATGAGGATCGTTTGCGAACAAGTTTTGTATGAACAGCAACTCATCATCACATGCAGTGTTGTTATGATCATAACTCAACAATGGAGCAGGAGAAGAAGCTGAGTTAGAAGAATGATAGTCATTGGTAATGGTGGATTCAGATTGTTCAGGCAGATTAATCTGGCGAGCTGTGATGAAGTGGGTTGATGAATTTGTAGGGGTGAGGAGCTTAGGAGATGACTGGTTTAGGGTTTTGCTTCTGATATAGTCTTGAAGAACAGAAGACTGAGGTTTACCATTAGGGTTTTTATTGTTGTTGTTTGGGGCTGAAGATTGCCTGGTTTTTCTCCTTGAATTTTGTTTTCTTTTTGTGGCATTCCAATGGTTCTTTATTGAATTTTCTGTTCTTCCAGGAATCAATTTTGCAATCTCAGCCCACCGGTTGCCCACTTTTGCATGAGCTTTTACTAACATCTTCTCTTCTTCTTCACTCCAGCTATCTTTCTGCGAACATGAACAATATAAATACATACATAAGATGCACATATTTGTGTATTATATGTATCAAAAAGACGAAAATAGCTAGTAAAAAGGCGGATAACAAGGACGGTATTGTTCAAAAGTTGGAATTGAAGACTCAAAAGTACTGTAAATCGTGCATAAAGATTACAAAAAAGCACGACAATTGATGATGACTATCAATGGCGTTTTGGTTTAGAGAAAAAGCTTGGATCACATGCAATGTAGTTGTGTATGTACATCCCCTAGAAAAGATTGCGTGTATACATACCCATACAAAAAAATATATTTTTGATGTGAATGTGAAATAGTGAAGCTTCAGAAATAAAATGATAGCCATGAAAATTAAGCACTGTGTTTGTAAGCTAACAAACTATATAGAAACTTTTACTTGAGTACCCATAATTTCTTTTGATATTAGGTTTATTCAGTGTAATTAATAATAAAATATGTAAGAATCTAAGGACAAAATTCTCAAATATTTTACCTTATATATGTACAGATCTTATGGAAATAAATATATCATCATTAGCAAGTGTATGAAGCAAGAATATTAACATGTACAAAGAAAAACAATATACATATATATATATATAGTACACATACATATACACATGGTTAACATATCATAGAAGAGAAAATATAGAGGATAAATATATATAAATATAATAATAATTAAGAAAGGAAGAAATAAAACCTTGATGTCAGGACGAAGATGGTTATGCCATCTCTCTCGACACTGTTTTCCTGCTCTTCCATCCAGCTTCTCGGCTATCTGAGCCCATTTTCTCACTCCATATTGCCTCACCAACTTAATCAGTTTTCTTCACAAACAAACACAAAACCCTAAATCACATCACCACCAGTACCGCTTCATATCAACCGTACAAGCAAGAAAAATCATTGCATAAGAATTATGTTAGTGTATGATATATATATATATATATCTAACACAAAACTTATTAAATTATGTAACATGATAAATCATTGATCAAGATTCAAGAACAAAACACAAATATTATATATAGGGAATATGAACAAATATAAAAGAATATGAAATTATGTGGCTCTTTTTTTTAGTTTTTGTGTGTTATATATGCATGCATGTGTGTATATAACCTGTCTTCTTCATCTGTCCATTGGCCTTTGATCAAAATCACAGAAGACGCTTTCTTGCTTCTCTTCTTCCCAGCAACTTTCCTTTCTTTCAAACCCATTTTACGGTTTCTTTTATCCTGTCTGCTACCACTCCAATTCAGATTACTTTCTCCTGAATAAAGCCCATCAACAAAGCTGTCCTCCTGGTTACAATTACTCGGCAATGGAGAAAACCTACCTGCGCCCACACCAGTACTACCACCACTACACATAGAGAAACTGCACATCCCATCTGCACAAATCACATTCTCTTTTTCCTCGACCTGCTGAGATCGATGACGATCAGTTTGTTTTTGTACAGAAATGATTTGACTTTGACCCCACAAGAACCTGTCTATGGCTGTCAATGGCGGACTGGGTTTGTACAGAACAGGCTTATTCTGTAAACTTCCACACCCACCGTCAACACCTCCTCCTCCTCCTTCTTCCATTGATGGAGCTGATTGAGCAAGGAAGCCGGAGAGAAGAGAAATAAATTTTTCAGAGGGCGTTGAAATTTCAAAGTTAATATTGTTAAATACTATACGCTTGAATATTGGGTTTGTCTTTGTCGTTCTTTAAGAGGGAAATTAACACACAACCACGACAGGAGCTGGACACAAAGCTTAGAGCAAGCCTTTTAACGTGCCAGATGGCTCGAGAGCCGTTGATCATCGAGTAGATCCAACGGATGAGAATCATTTTTGGGTGTAACTCCTGAGCTTCCTCTCTCGGACAAAAAGGAAGGAGAAGTGGAGAGATTAGTGGGTTCGTTATTAAACCCAGAGAGGCCCATTTAATTTAATCATTTTCATTTCTTAAAAATTAATTATTTAATAATGATATGCGCACTCCCGGGAATTAATAAGATCCATTGAAAAGACACTTTTGCCCTTGTGGTTCCCGTATGAAAGAAGGGCAAAATTAAAATTTAAGGGTGTGCCCGCAACAAAAATTTAATTAATGAAAATTTATAATTCAATTATTAGGGAGAATTACATGGATGTAATTTGGTCGATTGAGGTTTTAGTGTACAATTATAGAGAGGGTAATTTAATTTAATTTAATTTAATTTGTGGGGCTATTTATTTCTCTTCAATTTTGTAATAATAATGTGATTATAATTTTTAATAATATGATTACTATTTTTAAATGATATGATTATTATTATTATTTTTGGATAAAATGGTAATAACCCAATTATTTATTTTATAAACATAATATAAAAAATTAGGATAATTTTGGTCAAATCACACAAAATTGAAATTCCCAAACCCTCAATTTGGAGAAAAAAATTTTGAACCATTAAAAAGTAAAAGATTGAAATCATTCCCTATCATTTTCACCCAAATAAGAGAATTTTTCTCGAATATTTTTAATTTTTTATTTTTCAAAAATATATTTATACGTGGCATATATACGACGGATATTCAAAGTATTAGTGTAAATGATAAAATAATAATTAAAAACATTTGTTATTCTAATTAATATTTTTTAATAAAAATTAGTATATTTCAAAAATTATATAATTTTACACACCAAATAATTCACATTATAACTAGAAAACAATAGTCACAATTAATTAATTAAATTCCTAAACACCCTTAGGAAGATTTGCTTTCAAATTATTTTTTTAAATAATATATATATATATATATTGCTTTCAAATTAATGTTATAAATGTATACATACATACATATATATGTGTGTGTGTGTGTGTGTGTGTATATATATCAAATCAAACTTTGCTGAGGAGGTCCAATTCGACTTCAAAATCTCAGCTCTTATTATCTCAAGGCCCAAAAATAAAACAGGCCCGAATGTTATTCAAAATCGTATCTTAAAATTTTAGTCTTAATTATAGGTTTTTTTTTTTTTTTTTTAAAAAAAAGAAAATTATAAAATTACATATCTTGGAAAATATAATTAAAATTTTAATATATAAATTTAAGAGATCAGAAGATGTTTACGTAAAGTAAAATACAATATATATATATGTATATGTATTTATGTACGGTGAAGAAATGAACATTGAATTATGGGCTAGTCGAAGAAGCAGACATGGGAGTAGCTTACCATCCCCATCCCTTCACGTGGTCAACCGTCACTTTCTGCTTGCCCTTAAATCTCTATCCCTAGGACGACTACTACATTCGGATACATATATACATACACCCACGTAAATATATATATATATACACACACACACATATATATAGATACACACATAGTGGGTCTTTTTATATGCTTTTGAATTATTCCAAGTAAACTGTGCTTAAAACTTTTACTGTACAAATCGTATGGTTAATATTTTTCCTTCCTAAAGCTTAAATCGTGAACTATGCTTAGAATTGTATAATATATATATATATGTATATGCAGACATATGTAGATATATATATATATATAGTTACGTAGAGTTGCACATAAATGTAGGATATCCACGTGTCGTACCAAAATATGTTGCTCGATTCACTCTCCATGTAGTCTCATGTGAAGATGTTTACCCACTTTTTTATGGATACAATTAATTTAATTACTTAATTAAACTGAGCTAATTAAAATTGTTTAATTTTAATTATAGGATACCAAGAGGAATACATTCAACATCGCACGTGCATGTTCTCTTACGATCGTACATATCCACCGACTTAAACTTGATTTCGTACTTAAATTGTTCGATTAATCATTAATTTACGACTAAAATTATTCTTAATTTAATTATATAAATTTCTGTACGTATATTATTCTTAATTGTTGGGTTGAATATTAAATTACTAAGTCGTGGAGAGAGGAAAAAGTGGGTTCATGAGTTTCTTGAAGATAAAAACTTCTTTTTTGAAGTCGCTTAGCCTTTAAAAGGTAGAGACGTGATTTACATTAATATAAAATTAGTATTTAATACTAATTATATAATATGTGTTGACGTAAATGGGTGACGGTCACGTCTAACATGAACCGTGTAAGCTTTTCTATTGGAAGTTAACTTCACTTTATGCACTAAAGAACTCGTGATTTAGGGTCAACAAGTCAACCATTTAGACAATATCTTTTAACCCGTTATGACTTACTTTATTAAAAATTTTAATTACTATAAGAATTTGTTATTATTTTATAATATATTTATAAAGTAACAAGTTTAATATTTTTAATAATATTTAAATTCATAATTTTTAAGTAAAGTATAATAATTTTAGTTATTAAGTTACTGTACTAATGAATAATTTTAAATTATATTATGTGTTTCAAAAATAAAATATTTAAAAATAATTTAAAAGTCTTAAATGAAATATATTTACGAAATTATTTATTATGTTGATAGGAAACATATGTTGCTTTTAAAATCTCAAGATGCATCCTGTGTATTAAAAATAAAATAATTTAAAAGTTTTAAATGAAATATATTTAAAACAATAATTTATTTTTAAAAATATATATATTTTTATTAAATAATTTATAAGTTACTTTTTAATATTTAATAATTTTATATTATTAAATATGAAAGTAGAACTTGTCAAAAAAAAAATGAAAGTAGAATGTTTAAAGTTATCCATAAGCAGTTAAGTATATGCAATCTTTATGATGATTTATATATTTTTACAATGTTATATTTTTTAAAAGTATATAAGTTTGAATAAATTTAGTTTAATGCTAAATTACCATAAAATGCATTTTAAAGTAGTCGAAGAAAGAGTTAGAAATATTTATGGTAAATAATATATTTTTAAGTAGAGTAAAAATATAAAAGTTCGAAACTTAAAAGTTAATAAACTTATAAATTAAATACGGAAACGAAATAATAAGGTTTAGTGTTTATATACCTTACACAATAATTTAGAATGTCCAATAGTATTATAAGAATGTTATTTCTAAAATAATAAATGAAAATAAAAAAAAATAAGCAAAAGGCAAATAACTGAGTATTCTAAAACGACTTTCACTAGTTTCTGAAATGAGTTCGGGTGATGAACTTATTCACAACCCTCTTGTTAATCGGGATGTGGGTCTTAATTTTTGTGATCTGAAATAATTAATAAAATGGTGAGCTACACTAACATAATAAGAATATCACACTGCTCATCCATACAAAAAACTGAAGGTTGATAAAAATAATAAAAATAACAAATAGAGTTATTGATTTAAGTAAATTCATTTATCATAAATAAAACTATTGCGATATTTTCAAAATCGAAC